AATGCCAGGATGCCCCCTAGCAAGAGAAGAATGCCAAAGTGTGAGAATCTTAGTTCTCAGAGCAGCATCATTGCCAATCCAGGAGTGTGTTGGAGAGAAGCAATGAGGTTAGCAAGCTCAGGATCTGCATACCGGCTATCCTGAATTTCCTTCCAAAGATCAGCCTGCACAGAACTCATAAGGACATGAGTTCAGCACCTTGAACTCTAGATAATCAATCAGCAGCTATGTTTTCTTTTCCCCTTTTGTACTGAACTTCAAAGTCAAAGGAAAGAAGTTTGGCCAACCACCTGATCTGAGAGTAAGTGTGAAGTTTCTGCTCTAAGAGGTACTTTAGGGCCTTTTGATCAATTCTCACAATAAAATGCTAACTTAGCAAGTAGTGAGACCACTTGGTGACAGCAAACGCCAAAGCTAAGAGTTCTCTTTCATAGACAGAAAGAGCAACATGTCTAGGTGCAAGGCCTTTGCTAATGAAAGCTATAGGGTGATCAGATTGCATTAAGACAACACCAATACTAGCACCACTTGCATCAGTTTTGACTATAAAAGGCAAAGAATAGTTTGGCAAGGCCAATACTGGGGCAGAAGTGAGGGCTTTCTTGAGCTCAGCAAATGTTTGATCAGCAGAGACAGTCCAATGGAAGTTATCTTTCCTTAGCAACTCAGTCAAGGGTCTGCTAATAAGTCTATAGCCCTTGATAAACTTCCTGTAATAGCCAGCATAGCCAGCTAATCCCAAGAAGCCTCTCAATTGTTTGACAGTAGTTGGGGTAGGCCACTGCTGCACTGCAGCTATCTTTTTTGGATCAGTGGACACACCTTGAGCAGAAATAAAATGCCCCAAGTATTCAATATTAGGAGCACCAAACACACACTTGGACCTCTTAACCAATAACCTGTGTTGCACCATAACCTCAAATACCTGTTGTAAAGGCTCAACATGGTCTACTAAAGTCAAGCTGTAGACCAAGATGTCATCAAAAAAGACCAACACAAATCTTCTCAGGAAAGGATATAACAAGTGGTTCATCAAACACTGAAATGTAGAGGGTGCCAAATGGCATGACCAAATATTCATAGTGGCCCATGTGAGTCGTGAAGGCAGTCTTAGGAACATCCTCATGCACCATTCTGATCTGGTGATACCCAGACCTAAGGTCAATTTTAGAAAAGATGGTGGCACCAGTTAGTTCATTAAGTAAGTTATCTATAATGGGGATATGAAACTTGTCCTTGACTGTGCGTTGGTTTAGTTCTCTATAGTCCACACACAATCGCCATGTACCATTCTTTTTTCCCACCACTACCACAAGTGATGAGAATGGATTGTTACTGTATTGGATCACCCCATGCTGCAACATTTCTTTCACTAACTTCTCAATAATGTCCTTGTTCATAGAAGAATACCTATAAGGTCGAATGTTGACTGGTTTAGACCCAGATTGCAATGGAACCCTGTGATCGAAGACACCTCATTGAGGAGGCAGGGTAGTTGGTTCAGAAAATACTGCCATGTAAGTGCTGCGAAGATCATGAAGAGGCTATGGTACTGCCTCATCTTTGGAAAGGTAGAGTGCATTCAACTTAATAGGTTGTGGTTGGTCGACCATGACATGCAGCATGAGGAGTTCCACCTCTTCCCTATTAGACTTGAAACAGCCTTTGGGCTTGATAGTCTGCAAGCATCAGGAACATCCTTCAAGATATGCTGTTTACCCAAATAGTTATAGGTCATGGTAAGGGCAGAATAATCCATAGTCACTGGACCTAGAGTTCTCATCCATAAGGCACCCAGGACTAAATCATACTTCCCAACTAGAAATACAATCAAGTCAGATTCACAGGCTGTACCTTCTAACATCCATTGGAAATTCCCAACTACACCAGAAGTGGCTTCCATTGTGTTGTTACCTAAGCTGACGTATCCCACCTTAGTTGGAATCACAGTGCATCCCAACCTCTTGGCTGATTCAGAGCCAATGAAGTTATGTGTGCTACCTCCATCCAATAAAATTTGGGTAGGCCTCTTGTCACTATAACCAGTAACATGGATGGTTTGAGCACCTTGAATTACTGTTATAGCACACAAGGAGATGAAAGGCTGCTCACTTCCATGAGATGACCACTCCTCACTTGGTGAATCAGTCTCACTGTTGTTATTACCACTATCAGTAAGTTCACTCTCAGGAACCTCCAATTCTAACACAAACATTTGCTTTGGAAGGGTGCACTTATGCCCACGAGAAAACTTATCATCACAGAAGTAACAAAGACCTTGAGCTCTCCTACGTTGCATCTCAGCAGGAGAGATAGTTCTCCTTGTTTTAGGAACAATAGAGGTAGAATTAGCAGGTGAAGTCAGTCTAGGTGGATGTGTAGGTTGGTGATATTGGTGACTCTTGAGACCTGGACTGTCATACACAGGCTTCCTAGCTGAACAGTATCCCCCAGATGAGGCCTGCTTTAAGGCTCTAGCATTAGCGGCTAATGTTGCTTCTGCTAACCTAGCTCACCTTTAAGTTTTGGACAGTGATTTAGGTTCATGCATCTTAATAGAGTGGACCAACTCTTCCTTCAAACCTCCCAGGAAATAGGAAATGGCTTGTTCAACAGTTAAACTACACTGTGCTAGCAACCTATCAAATGCAAACTAGAATTCCTTCACAGTACCAATTTGCCTTAATTGCTTGAGTTCTAGCATAGGATCAGCAAATTCTTCACCAAATGTTTCAATTAATTCTGAGATATATTCATCCCAAGCAGGTAGTGTAGGTAAATTTCTACATTTCAGATAGGACTGATGCCAAACTAGGGCATCATCATCCAAGTTCATAGCAACTAATCTCACTCTCTGATTGAGAGGAGTTTCATCCTCAGCAAAGTACTGACCGATCCTATACAACCACGTCTTCAAATTCTCTCCATTGAAGCGAGGGAAAACCAGGTTATGATTTCGATTAGCATTAACACAGTAAGAATTTGGACCTAGAATACCCTGACTTGACTGGAGCATTTTGTCCTTAGCAGCTGATGTAGATGCACTATCCTTTGATTGTTGATTCAATTGCCGGCCATCAAAGGAATATTTGAGAGCACTCACCATGTGCAGAAATTCACCATGGTGTTTGTCCAAATCATCTCTTAATTCTTGCTGTTTTTGTACTAATTCTGCTCGCAGATCTAGCTGTTGAGCTGTTAGATCCTCGTACTGCTCCTGCAAATCCATGGGTTGATTACCCGTCACAACGTCAACAGCTCGTCGTGGGCCCATCGTCTACCAAACTATGATACCAATTGATACTCAATTGTAGAGTATCAGCTGATAAACCAATGAAACAGTAACAAAAAGAAGAGAAAAGAGGTTCAGGAGAAGAGAATAAAACAGAGATAGAGAGAGGAGAGTGAGAAGAACTCGGATTTTCTTATAACATAATAATTGTGTGAATTACAAACGCTGTGCACTATTTATAAGTGCTGGAATTTGAATACAGCAAAAGGAATTACAGAATTTGAAATAAAACTGCTAACTACTTTTCCCGCCACTTTAGCTCAACTAAAATTCAAATGGTTCCACCCTTAGCCATTAATATTCGTATCATCCTGACAGTAGATTCAATTCAGCTACAAACTTGACTATCTAGCTGTACTACTTTCAACTGCACAGTCCTACACTTCTTTGCTGTTTTTCTTACCAAGGCGGAAGGAAGTCACCAATAAGGACAAAACAGCAGAGATCACTCCTGAACAGATCTACACCAGCTAATTCTTTTATGTATTAGCTTAGAAATTTATGTTCATCTGTTTCTACACAATAGATAAAATATGCAGAAGGGACAACACACATTTGTCAAATAACTAGCTTTTTTGGTAAATGGAGAAGAAATTTCGGGGAGAAATTAACTCTTGTATCTGTAAAGTCATTTCATCAATGCCAATCCCCTATCTGGAGAATATATCTTCTTGCTTCTTAAAAAATCTTCTTGCTTGCTAATTCTTTTTATTCTTTCATTGTGATCAAGTGTGTTAGTATCTTCATTGCCTAGGGGAGTTGGAGATTATTTTTCGGTATCTTCATTGTCTATGGGAGAGTATATTCTCTCAGTGTGATCAAGTGATCAAGTGTGGAATATTAAGAAGCTATTGTTTGTTGTTTGGCACATTTACAAATATGACGGTACTACATGTTGCTGTAACCTTTGGTTGACAATTTCAAAAGAGATCATAGGATATTGCCTTTTTAAGTAGGGCCCGAGAAAAATATATGTTCCTTGAGATAAACGATACAAGAAACTTTTCGCTCAAATTATTCAGTAGATCATTATTCACTGGTGTCAATATCATAGCTCTCTTTAATAACATGGTGGTGTGGACAATACATGGGATTCAGTGACCAAAGCTACTATGGTTAATGTTATCCAACAAGAATGAGTCTAGAAAGGGAGAGAGAGTCTACTACACCCATGTCGCTGCTTGTATCGGCCAAGGCTTTACACCATCATGACATGTTCTGAATCAAAGTTCTTATAGAAGTATCTACGGTCTTTTAGGAATGATTTCATGATTCTGAGGTGCTTGATGTATACATCAAAGATAGAAGCGATCAGGAAGATTCTTTATGGTAATATGCATATTGCAGATTCGTTGTTTATGAGGTTATTTTTTTGATATTGTTTACTTAATCCTCTCTGGAGTATTACTGCTAGTTGACATCTGATTGCTGACCGCTTATTTACTTATTTATTTTGAATTTTCCTTGATGTTTCTTAATCCTGTCTAGAATATTTTCCTCTCCTTGTTGACTGCCTCCATTGATCAGTTATACTGGAAATGGAAGGTATTCGGATTTTGTTGTCCAATGATGCTTTGTAGTAAATGTGGAGAAAATAGTGGAAGTCTTATTTCTTTCCTTTGTTTATTTACCTATTCTGTGAATCAATTTCTCAATCGAGATAGCTTCTTGTTTTTGGCTGAAAATACCAACTCTGTTTCTGTGACAGGGTACTGTGAAATGGAGTGCCTAGCAAAAGTCTATGCTTCCTTCCATCTATTTGTCTGACTCTTAGATTGTTGTTATTATCTCTCCGGCATTTGTTGTAGATATTGTTTGTTTCTACTGATTCTTTTCATCTCTTGTTAGCCGAGGGTCTATCGGAAACAATCTCTCTATCTTCTCAAGGTAGAGGTAAGGTCTGTGGACGCACTACCCTCCCCGGACTCCTTGTGGGACCCCAAAATATACTTGTTGTAGTCGCCAGATTGATCTAGTGGTAAGAAATCATTCCTCAAGAATATGAGTAACCACAGACTTGCTTGTTTGATAAATTGAAGTACTCACATTATTTAATGAGGATTCATGTTGTCGGCTTCAACTTATTTGGGATTGAGGCATAACTGATGTCATATGCTTCATTGTCTTACATTTTCCTTTGTCATCATGTTTAGATCAACAACACTCATCGTCGCATACTTTGTTTGTTTCTACTATTTTTTTTCCATCTTTCGTGAGCCGAGGGTCTATCGGAAACAACCTTTCTATCTTTCCGGTGTAGGGGTAAGGTCGGTGTACACACTACCCTCCCCGGACCCCACTTGTGGGACTCCATTGAGTTGTTGTAGTCGACAGATTGAGCTAGTGGTAAGAAATCATTCCTCAAAGAATATGAGTAACCACGGACTTGCATGTTTGATAAATTGAAGTACTCGCATTATTCGATGAGGATTCATGTTGTCAACTTCAACTTGTTTGGGATTGAGGCGTAATTGTTGTTATATATGAAATATAATCCAGGTTTAAAATTTAAAATTTCAAAACTCTTACAATCACACAAATATTATGACATAGGCTTTTACTCATTCTTTATTCTATTTTTTTGAGGAAAAAAAATAAGGGAAACTTACATAAATATCCCAAATAAGTTTCAACTTACCAACCTCTAGCCATTAGTCATAGACTTACCAAAACTAGCCAAACATATATAAAAATTGAAAAACCAAATAAATAAGGTTCTTTCTCTCAAAGAATCACATGCAAAAATCACCTTCCATATATTTTAAGCGTGATTAGCAACATAAGATGCAAGACGGAAAGAAAATTTCATGGATGAGGTAGCAAATAAGGTGATAAAATACAAAAAAAATATACAATATTCCAAAAATCTAAACGAAAAAGGAATTTTTTTTAATGGGTATAGTTGAAATTCATTGAAAATATACAGATACGTCAATATATAAAATTTGAGGAAGATTGGAGGTGATTTGGACTGGTTTTGTATCAAAATTCGTAATTAATCGAGTTCAAAAAATTCTTCTGCGACACATGTATCAAACATGTATGACGCATGTATCTCACACACAGGTATACATGGATATACATGTGATACACAATCGATACAAATATGATACATATGTGATACACAAATGATAAACAGTGTGATACACATATTATTTTTTTCATATTCAGTTTTTACTTCGAATTTTCAATTCAAACCACCTCAAAACTTCACCAAATCATCCCAAAATTGAAATTCAAGCTCCTTAAGATATACCCAATCTATTCTAATAGCATTCACTCAAAAAAAAGTAAAAATTTGATATTTTTTTGCTACAAATAGTTAATTGGCCAATTTGGCTAATATTAGTAATATTTTATCAATTGGCCAATTTTTATAATGAGCTACCTATAAATAGACATAGCTGATAATTTCCCAAAAAATAAAGGGTAACTCGACTTCTTAGCTAGACCAACCTGTTCCTTGAAGCACCTTATATTTCTGAGTCCTTGCCGTTGCATAAAATAAGATAAAATCTTTTTTTAACAGACTCCTAAGTTCCTAATTATTGTGCATAATTAGAATTTGATAATAACTTTGAGCTTGTTATCGCAGTCAAGAGTAGTTGTGAGTTAAAAAAAATGAGCTAGCTTTAGTCTCATCATGTTGTGATTTCGTCAAATTTTGATATACTTTTGGAACTTGCAAGTTTGATGTGTAAATATAGATAATATTTCCCAATGAAATTAAAGATTCATAGTATATTCTCATCAATGTTAAGCTGAGACCTGATATTTTACTCTTCCAAGTATACGTCTTTCTGGATTTCTCTGCTATGGCCAAAAAAAAAAAAAACTTCAATCACAGTTCATTAAAAAAAAAATCAAGTTGTGAATAGTACACCAGAAAAATTAAATAGCCGCTCATCTAATTTTTTTAAATTAAAAATACCAACGGATGTATAATCTATGTATAATTCATGTGTAATGTGCATAATTATGTATAATTAATTTATTATCTATTAATACTGGCTAGAAAAATAAACAGTGAATCTGACTGGCTATTTGTGTAACAAAATTACCCAAATAGCTGCACACCCAATCGTTTAAACTAAAAATAGCCGTATAACCTGGGCACCAACATCTCTATACGCATATGTTTACTTAATATAATATTTATCTTTGGTAAAAAAAAGAGGTTGTTATTAGTTGAACTTTCGGATTTATCACGTTCTCTCTTTTAACTTTTTAGACTCGTAATAATATCTGCTATTTTCCTCATTTTTTTAATTCGTTCTAATCATATTCATTCATTATTCTAGCGTTTTATTTTCTTTATTGTTTTTTTAAAATTTTCATTTATGGCGTTTTATTTTCTTTGTAATTTCTAGCTAATTACTAGTATAGTTATATTGTTTGTAGTATCCCTAATGGATCTATCACTACAACAGCAAAAGAAGTTTGAGATTATGTGGTAGTTGCTCCTTTCATGCACTGTAGGCCGCTGATCTGGCAAAGTCCATGCAGTCAGTGGTAGTGAGCGTGTAGTTGGTAGACCTTGCTTATCATCTTCCCAAATTTTTCTAACAAAAAGTGGTGCCTGATCAAAAACTTGCATTGTATAGTTCCCTTCCAAAAAGCTTCCTGATTTTGCTAGTTGATCTGCTAATTTATTTTGTTCTCTGTACGCATGGCTAACTATTGAATTATGGAGCTTCCACAACAATTGCCTGCAATCGCTCAATAGATTAGCATAAATTAAATTGTCACCATGTAGCAGTGTGATTACCTCCTTAGCGTCAATTTCCACGTGAATTGGCAATAGGTTATGTAGTATTGCCAATGTAAGCCCCTGTAACAATGCGTACATTTCTATCGCAATAGTAGATTGACGCGGTATGTTTCTTGAGAAACCTATAATCCAGTCCCCATTGTGATCTCTAATTATTCCTCTGATACCATTTGTATTTGATGTTGATGAGTGCGCCGCATCCGTATTTAGTTTATATATGTTAGGTTTTCGTGGTATCCATTTAAAAGGAACCTTGATACGTCGTTGTATCTTATGGTTTGAAGCTGCGAGATAACAAAATTCAATAGCTTGTTGTGTAGTAAATTTGATGCTAACAGATTTATGTATTCCTTTATGTATATTTTTGTTTCTGGTGATCCAAATGTTCCACAATCTTATAGGCAAATAAGTATGTGGATTAATATTGTATGGTAATTTATGGTCTTTGTAGTTAATTAAAGAGAGTAGCCATTCCTATGGGGTAGTTAAGTTAAGTAAACTATTTATATGTCTTCCTATTCCCAGTTCATTCCAACAAGTTTTTGCATTAACACAAGTTAGAAATAGGTGATTTAAGGATTCGTCCGCTTCATGGCAATATGGACATTATGCGTTAGTTATAATGTTAATTTGTTGTAGAAATTGAAATGTTGGCAGTCTATTATGGTTAAGTAATCAAATGAAATATTTAATTTTGGGATGTATAAATAGATTTCATATCCATATGAATTTACACACTGTATTGTGGTCGTTAGTGGATTGATTTTCCAAGGCTTTATAAATTGATTTAACCTTAAAATTTTCATTTGTTGTTAAAGCCCAGTAAATACTATCAGGTTTTTTATTGTGAGCGTAGATGTAAGGAGTCCTTATAAGATTTTTTATATCATCTGTAAGTAGGGGTGTTCACGGTTTGACGGAAAACCGATCCAAACCGAAAACCGAACCAATATAATATACAATATAATATCTTTTTGTATACAAAATTTAATAATTATTTATATACAATATAATATCTTTTTGTAAATAATTTTAAATATTTTATGCATTTTAATTGTTATTTTGAATTTTGGTTTATCCTTTTATATCTTAAAAGATTGCCTAAGCGCAAAACAATAGGAGTCGACCAATTTTCTTTTCATTAAGAGACTCTAGTTCTCTAACCCTCCGCACATACTTTTGCCTAATAGAAGAGTTAAAAAAAACCACCACAAGAGTAAAGAAAACAAATTCAAATTGCAAGACAACAATGGCTAAAGCTTGAGAAAGCAAACTTTTAGTTTGTTTTTTGTTCATTCTTTTCATATAAACAGGTAAATAAACTTTCAGTTCTAAAAGAAATATATAAAAAACCATAAATTTAGCAAATTATTTTCAGATTGTTGTCTAGCGTTGTTTTACTATTATCGACTTATCATTAGCTTACTAAGAACCGAAAAACCGAACCAAACCGAATCAAACCAACAACAATCAAACTGATGGTTTGTATTTAATTTGGTTTGGTTTTTAAAATTTTAAAAATCGATTAAATTGGTTTGGTTTTGGTTTTAATCAAAAACCGACCAAACCGAACCATGAATACCCCTATCTGTAAGTTCAAAAGGCAGATGGTCCCAATTCCATCCATTAGAATTATAGATAGAATCAATTTTTATTTTTTGATGTGTCAAGGTAATGAACCTCTTATTAGTGAACGAATAGTAAACCCACCCTTTACCCATGAGTTCTCCCAAAAATTAATGTGCGTACATGTTGATATTTTCCATTGTAATCCTAGTTGACAATATTGTCGTACTTTTAGTATGTTACGCCAAGTTGTGGAGTGATTTATAGATGATGACAAGTGTAGGAATTTATTAATTAATATCTTAGCCCAAAAATTTTGGAGTGAATGAAAAACTCTCCATGCTAGGCTTGCAAGTTATGCATTGTTCTTGTGGTGAAGGCATTGAATTCCTAAGCCTCATATTTCTCGAGGTGTAGTAATTTTCTTCCATTTTAAAAGATGCATTTTTTTCTTGTTGTGGTTGTTCCCCATAAAATATTGCGTTGGTACTATTCCATCTTATTAAGAATGCTTGTTGGAATGTGAATGTTTTGCATGATATGATTTGGCAAGTTGTTTCGAGTTGTTTTGATTAGAGTAGCCCGTCCTACCATAGTTAGGAAGTTCGTTTTCCATCCTGCTAGTCTAGATTTAAAATTATCTAATTGGAATTGGAAGTCAGTCTTTTTTTGGCGTGATTAGCAAATTGAGAATCCTAAATATTTACCAAAAGTAATTCTTTCTTTGATTTGGAAGCATTCCAGTACAAAGTTTCTATCATTTGTTGTACAGTTCTTTGAGAAAAATAATTTTAATTTCTCAAAATTTATTCTTTGTCCTGAATGTTTGCTGAAATGATTTATTACATCTATAATAGCATTGTAATGTTTGTCACACCTCCTTTTTACGCGCCCGGGGGGGGGCGCAAGGGAGTTTTTTCCAATTAAAGGAC